CCTTGGGTAATGGCAGACGCAGAGTGTCTGTCCTTGGTCCAGGGCCAATTGGTGAGCATTTTGCACACGTGACAGCAGGGATGACACAGAAATCGATTGGCTTGTTGTTTTAAATTGTGTATGTGTTGTGTGTGGTTCTGGCTTCTTGTGCAAATTTGTATAAAGGTCAGAGGTCAACATGGGTACTTTCCTTCAGTGGTTCTTGATTAGACAGGGTCTCTCACTGAGCCTAGCGCTCACTGATTAGCTGGGTTGGCTGGTCAGCAAGCTCCGGAGAGCTACCTGTCTCTGCTCCCTGTCACCCAGCTCTAGAGCCACGGGCATGCACCACTACACTAAACTTTTCCATAGGTACTAGAGAGCTGAACTCAGGTTCCCATGGTTACAGAGCTGGCACTTTACTGGCTATGATCTCCCCAGCCCCCGTTGCTGTTGTTTTGAGATTGGGTCTCACGTAGCCTAGGTTGACTCTGAGCATCATGGATGGCCAAGGATACACTTGAATTCCTGATCCTTCTGCCTCCACATCCCAAGGCTGGAATTATAGACTTGAGCCACCATATGGTTTTGAGTAAGAATTAAAATGAAAAGACTTCAACCACTCCTTACTCTTATGTAGCATATTTATTTTCTTATCTTATATTCTATCATGAGGCTGACTTTCTATATCAATGCCCATTCCTTCAGACAAGAGTTGCTGGTTACTGGAAGTAATAAATATTTCATGCTCAACAGGCGGCCGTGACTGGCAGCTTATATCAAAACCACTCGTATTTAGAAACACAATGTTGTTTTATTAATCCCTGTTTATTCAGGATCTTTGAGTAAAACAAAAAAATAAAGATAAAATCGGCTTATGTAACCTCAAATCATGGCAGTTTCAGTTACGGATTGCAGCAGAAGCAGAGGTATAAGAAAATCTATGGCTTGGGATGTTGGCACAGTGCCCTCTGGTGAGAACTCTTCAGTGTAGCAGAGGTTTTGTGTATTTATTTATTTTTTTTAACTTGCATCTAATTTACATGTTCTAAGTCAGTGGTTCTTAGTCTTCCTAATGCTGCAATCCTTTAATACAGTTCCTCACATTGTGGTGACTCCCCCAAACATTATATATATATATATATATATATATATATTTCAAGACAGGGTTTCTCAGTAGCTTTGAAGCCTGTCCTGAAACTAGCTCTTGTAGACCAGACTGGCCTCGAACTCACAGAGATCCACCTATCTCTGCCTCCTGAGTGCTGAGATTAAAGGTGTGCACCACCACTGTCCAGCATAATATTATTTTTGTTGTTACTTCATAACTGTAATTTTGCTACTGGGCGGTGTCTCAGTTCCTAAAACTAATGGAATCCGTGTCTTCCAACAGTTGTGACCCACAGATTGAGAACCACTGGTCTAAGTAATTTCATTGGTCAGAGGCCAAAAATAGCCTTAGGCCTCTACAATAAAATGTTTTACTTCCACTCATATGTCTTCCTGACACAGCTTTCTCAGTGTTAGCCACTCAGTCCTAGTGAGACATCCCTGTGTCTCCTCACGATTATGAAGGCAAAGCGCAGCCCTGCACCTAAGAAGGAGTGGGAGATGAATGAGACTCAGATCCAGTCCTCTGTCTCATCACCTCTGAAAATTCCATGGACCTTTCTTCAGAGATGACCAAAAGACAGTTCACAGGCAGTTCCTAATGTTGCTCATGGATTTAAAGCCTCTAGAAAATTCTGGAGTGTCTGGGATATCTCATATAATTACTTTTCCAAAAATATACTTAATACTTCCAAGGAAAAAGTACTACAACAACAATAACAACAATAACAACAACAACAACAACAATAAAAATACCCAACACAAACAAAATTTAAAACTCAACCTCTCTGATACAGCTTAAATAATTTATTGTGACTAAGCTTTTGAAACAACTGATAGTTACTGAATTCTAGGGTAATGTCCTTAGGAAGTACAAGAGTCTTGACAGCCTGGGCTAGGGTTCCTCCTCTTCTATAAAGAGAGAGAAGTTCCATGATGCATTTGCAGCTGGGAGCAGTAGCCCATGCCTGTAGCCCTGCCATTCTGGTGGTCGAGGCAGGAGAGTGTCAAGCTCAAGATCAGATTGGACTGCATAGTAAGTCACTATTTAAGCATAAAAACAAAAGAACCAGGAATTGAATTCTAGATGTTAATAAAGGAACCTAAAATAGTCATGGTAGTGCATGCCTGTAATCTCAGTATTTGGAAACCCAGAGGCAAAACCCGTTAGGACAGACTTTCAGAGACCAAGAGGAGCTGGGTGGATATGGTGAAGTGCCTGCTTTGGGGCTTTTCCGCACCAATATGCCTGTGTATGCAGAGACTGGGGAAAAGGGCAAAGCCCAGCCAGACAAAAGGCTGGCTTCAGAGACCTACAAAGTGGGGGTGGGGCTGTGTGCTAACGTGAGCTTTAAATGTTGTCTGCATCTTTACTTAATCCTAGCCACGCTAAATGTGTTGCTCTAAGACTGATTTTCTTTCACTCCGAGTTCTTAGAGACCTTCTCAGTGTCGCAAAATCATTTAGAAACGGTTTTCCACTGTCTTGGACACTAATTGTTCGGGCAAAAATCTATGCTGTCGATTTTAAACTCCACCGAAGGCTGTGAGGAACACTTCCAAGAAATACGCCATGGCGCATGCGGGGCTGCAGAGCTCAACCAGGTAAGCCTGCTCCAAAATCTCTGCCTCTTTCCCGCAGCACCTCGGTGAAGTGCTAACCACTTAATTAAGTAACCATCCTCAGAGCGTATTAAGTGACAGTAACTAGAGAGCTCACAAGAAGAAAAAAAAAACCTAATAAAAAAATAAGGGCCAGAAATCCCCAGAGTCCTTGTCTTCACAAGGTAGCCCGTTCAAAATGTCAAATATCAGAAATGAGCTGAAACCCTTGAAATTGCTGCAGGTGACATTTCCCAAATATCACCTCTTGGATTGCTTCTTTTGTGCAATAGATCATTACCTGGTGTGATGGTTTACATGTGTAATCCTAGCACGCAGGATGCAGAGGCAGGAGGAACAGGAGCTAAATATCATCCGTATGTGTGTGTGTGTGTGTATGCATGTATGTACACACACACATATTACCTTTCACTAGAATAGGTTAGTGCTACAAAAGAATTGAGCAGAAAGCTCAAGGGGTCTCTGTGGACCCTTCTCCCTTGTTCTAGTTTCTTTCAACTGCTGTGACAAAATATCACGACCTAGTCTACCCGGGGCATAAAAAGTTCTCACACTGAGAAGAAATCACAGTGGCAGGGCCTTGAAGCAGCCGGTTGTATCACATCCACAGTCAAGGACAGAGACAGAGATAGATAAATGCACGCATATTGAGCAATCAGTTTCTGTTTTCTGCTCTCACATAGTTCAGGAGCCAAACTGAGACTGCTGCTGCCCATGGTGGCCTTGGTCTTGGTCTTCCCACCTCAATGAACACAGGTAAGAAAAAGTATCTCATAGCCATGCCAAGAACATGCGGACAGCCTTCCCTGAGCCTCTCTTCCCCAGGCCACTCTGCTTATACCAGAGCTCTGGAAAGACATACCATACATGGTACACGTGTGTTCTCAACGTACTAGGTACACGCTTAGTTCTTTCTCTTTCCTTTCCTTTCCCTGAGGCCAGGCCTCATGTAGCCCAGGCTGGCCTCAGACTTGCAGTATAACCAAGAATGGCTTTGAATCCCTGACCCTCCTGCCCCCAGTCTGCACAAGTTCCTCAACTCAATTCCTTACCTGACAACTTCCAAAGAGCAGAACTGTAATGGAGTGAAACAAGCAGAAAGGATTTACGGACGGAGTCACTCCCCTTACAGTCTCAGCATCCGTACCCTTCATCCTTGCCTCGCTAGCAATTGTCAGCCAACTGCACCAATCTCACTGGGAGGGTCGGAGATGTCCCCATTCCACTGACGGTCACCTGTCATCTCACCCTCCAGCTGGGTGGAAGAGGCCAGGAACTAGGGCAGGGATCAGCAACAGGAAAATACATACTTCCTATGGGAAGGCTTTGGAGTGGGTGTGGTCTTTCTCCAGGGGCTGGAGAGTCACACTCAAGGCTCTGTAACTAGCAATGGGTAGAAAGGGTGGGAGTCTGCTATCAGAATCCCCACTGGGCTGGTAAGACCAGCTGCTAACCGGCAACAGAGAGAGATGGAAGGACCACACAGAGACCAAGCAGGTGGAAGGGATGGAGTCAGGGCTTGGCAGGAGAAATGGACTCCATTTCCATCCTTTAGGAGGGACCTAGAACACATTGGGCAACGTGGGTCCTTGAGTAGTGGAGCCTTTCTGTCCTTCTACACAAAGGCCTGGGCACTATGCCACCAGCTCCCAGCCCTTCCTCACTGCAGCCGGACTGTATGGGTCTTCACAGTGGTGAGACCCACGTCTGCTTCCCGTGTAACTCAATGGTGTGTGAAACTCTCTAACTAAATATTGCAGTGTTAACTTTGAATCCATGCCATTTTACATACATGTTAAAGGCATAGCACTGAGGAATGTCTAGTTCTCCTTATGCATGTGTACATACATATGTGTATGTATGTGCACGTGGGTATGTGTGCATATGTGTATGCGTGCAGAACCCAGAGGCGGATACGAATGCTTTTCTTGATCAGTTTCCAGTTTATATATTGAAGGCAGGATCTCTCATTTGAACACAGAGCTCACAGATTTGGTAATCTATTAGCAAGCCTGCCCTGGAGGACCCCCGCCCCCACTGCTGCCTTCCAAGTACCTGGAGTTCACATGGGTGCTGGGGATCTGACCTCTGACCTCAGATCCTAAAGTATGCTTGGTTTCTCAACCATTATTTCTCTAGCCCCTATTTCAAATTAATAAATATATCAAGGACAGTAAAAAAATAAATAAATAGTGGAGGAAGAGTATAATTTTTTGTGTATAAAACCCTTTGATCTATATTTTCTGAATTTAAAATAACACAAAGAATTTACTCTGATACAAGAAAATATTACTTTTCTCCAAAAATTTAATTGCAGAACTATGTACAGGAGGTGAGTATTGGCAATGCAGACATCGAATGAAAGAGGCGTTACCATAGGACAGTGCTAGGCAACCGCGTTGCCATAGTCACCCAAGAGTGGAAAGAAAAGTCACAGAAGAAAACAAAACAAAACAGGCAATCTTTTAAAAATGGCTTAAAATAATGACAAATTATTAGCGAGGAGGAAGAAACTGTGTTGGCAATGAGAAATACATCAGATAGGGCCCTGCATGCTGGGAAATAGAATTTATCAAAAGAACCCAAAAAAGCATGAGTAAGAATTACATAAAATAGTTTCGTTCTGGTGAATGTAACTCTGTACAGTGTGAATATTTGGCACTCTGTCGATCCTCGTCGTGGGTATTATTTTATATGTATATTTATTTATATATATTTATATACTTTTAACCTTGAACTAAATTGCTAGTCTCCTGCTCTAGCATTTCTTGAATCCCTATAGGAGGCATTAAACTCAGTCCTTAGGCCACACCTGGGTATTTTGGCACATAGTATGGAGGGTGGGTAAAGGGTTGTATCTCTACAGAAGGGTACCTGGCCAGAGGGAACGGGCTTATCATTGGAATAAGTAGCCCAGTTCTCGATGCTCATTAGGGGGAAACCTTCCTAAAAGCGGCAAACCAACTGAAAATGGAGGGAGGGTGACAATTCTTGTGGAGCCCTTTGAAGGTGACGGCTGGAGTTGGGTGGTAGTGGAGAACGAGGGGTTATGGACAAGTGGCTTCCTAAGGTCCCACAATCAACTGTGGCTTCCGTCACTGGGTTTGCAGACATGCATCCGAGTCCCCCCACGGAGACCACTGCTCAAAAGACAAACACGGGTTCACACACCCTGCCATAACTTCCTCTGTGACCATCTCTTTTGCGCCGCCCATGGGAAGTCTTGGAGCCCAAGTCTTTCAAATTCAGAATAAGCACCAATGATTAAGAGTCTCCTAAAATCTAAGAAAACTGGGAGGTAAACCACTGTTACCTTGGTTTGTGTGTATACAAAATCTTTTAAAAAGTAGTAGTTTTGTAGATAACTTATATGTCCTCTGTAACGGAGTCAGCTGTCAGCTGCTGAGACGAAACAGGGTCCTTTGTTTTTTTTTTTTTAAACATTGGATCAAAACGTCAGAGTTAGGACAGCAACTCATCGCAAGGTGGTGTTTTCAGTGTGGCAAGGACGGAAAGGCTTCTTCAGCGTCTGTGTGCTCATCTCTGCAGTGGGCAGGGGGATGATGGCAAAGGGGGGTCTTGGGGTGGTGTTCACACCTCCGCGGCCACCGTGCCACAGGGCTGGGTCCATCCCAGCGTACTCCACACGCACAGCCTTCTGTCCTCCAGGAAGAACTATCCTCTTGCCACTGTCCTGCATAGATAACCTCTGTCCATCTCATCCAGGAGGGAGCTGAGCCGATGGGACGCTGAGGACATTGCCCAGTTCTCAGTGGTGGTATTGGTTCTTGCTCGTGGGTGGGTAGAGAAATTGAAGTCACAGCCAGCAGGAAAAGAACTCCCTGGTGATTATGTTCCATTTCTGTGCCCCTCTGCATCCTTGTTTGACCTCCTGCTTACCCAGGAGGTCAGGGCCCTAAAGCAAATATCCCTGCCTGTGGTGCCCTAGCTGGCTCTGCCAGCTTCCGGCACAGAGTGGGGCCACAAAACACATATAGAGTCAGAGCATAAATTCCAAACAATACACATTCACTATAAACCTCTAGGCTCTGAGATGCAGGAGGCTGTATGTCACCCATCCTTACATTGTGTCTGTCTGTGAGGGAGGTAGGGACACTAATGCCACATGGAAGAAAAAACAGGGGTGGGGGACCTGAGTAAAAACAGGTTACTAGCCATTGCGGGCATAAGTTCTGGCAGCTTGGCTGGGCCTCAGGGCTTTAGGCACCTTCTCGTTGACATCCCAAACTTCCCGCAGCTACTCTGTGTAGAGGGCATCGAGCCTGACAGGGAGGTGCACCGCCTTCAACTGGCTGCATCTTTCTGCTCCCCCCAGGCGGCACAGGCTGCGCCAGGGTACAGGGATGACTTCGGCTGACGTGGCACGCTCGTTGACGGGCAGTAATGGGATACATTAGTGCAAAGTTCATGGCTCGCCAGTGCAGCTGAGGCCCCTGCAAATCAGAGGCAATTATAGTCTTGATCTCTTAAGCCTGCGGTTTACTGGTTTTGAACCCCAGCGTTTGATCCAAACCTACTTAGATGTATAAACGGCGAGTGGGCAGAAAAAAGAAAACGCCTTAGAACTTCCTGTGAATATGGTTTGAAAACTATAAAAATGATAAGGGTAACTATGAGGGTAGTGATACGTTAAATTTGCAGTAGTAACAAGAAGACACCCACGGCTGGAGAAAAAAGTGGCGGGGTGAGGCGGGCACACAAAGGCCTGTGACTTGGGGGCACATGTCTGTGTTCTGAGCTTCAAGCCTGTAGCTGGTGGAGTGAGAACGGCTTCAGTGTTCTCCCATGCCCAGTGTTGCTCCAGTCAGCTTCCTTCAAGTCAGATACAGGCCCTCAGGGGACTGCTGCTACCTCTCCGACTGCTGAGGGAGTTCCTCTGCCATCAGCAGGTACAGTTCTGATAACCCAGTAGCCTGAGTCTATCTGAACCGCCGCGTGTCAGCTTCTGTCCGTGTGGACGTCCTGGAGTTGTGGTCAGGAAACCCTGAGCAAGGTGACTGAGTCTGCAGGAGAAAGCTGAAACCTGACCTGTGTGCCCGTCGGAAGGTGACTGGCTTCCAGCTCTTCAGGGACACCAGAAGGCTGCCTCACACCTGACTACCCCACAATCAGTTACTAAGTTCAGTCCATGTCTCTCTCTCTCACTGCACCGCATCTCTGCTGCCCAAAGTTTTGGATCAAGACTGGGTATGATGGTGCGTGTCTGTTATCTCAGCACCCAGGAGAAAGAGACAGGACAGTTGAAAATCTGAGGCTAGCCTGGACTATACACAGTGAGACTCTGTCTTCAAAAAAGCAAAAGACAAACAAACAAAAGGTTGGCCCAAACCAGACCGCGGTTTCTAAGGCAGGGAGTTCTATGGTTGCTACAGGCACTGGGCCACGTGTCCATGGTGTCACCGTATTACCACAGACATCTCAACCTGGGGTCCTGGGGTTGGGATGGGTCGTGCAGAGGCGTCAGATTTAAGTTAGGGTGGTTAAAAACAGTGTTTGCTCAATATGCTAACAAAAGGCAGAAGTAAAGATGGGGTGAACTGAGACAGACACCCCAAGAAACAGGATCCATCATATGCCTAGTGTACTCTCTGTGATTCTGGTCATACCTTGGACCTTCCCACGAAGGCTGGCTGCCTCTACTTCGCAGCTTGCGGTTTTGTCGATTTTTCTGACGCAGGCAGAAATAATTTGTAATTTTTTTCCTTAAAGATTTTCTTCCTATTAAATGTCTGACGCCTTCAGTTGTGGTTCGAAGTTAAAAGTGTGGGCATTTCCTTTTTCCATGAGGTGATTTCTGGGTATAAAACAAGTTGGCTGCTTTCTACAGCATTCTAGGGTGGTGATAAAAATATATAGGAACCATGATCACAACAGGAGCAGACAGAGATGCCCTGGAAAGTTCCCGATCCTCCTGTTTCTCAGTCGCACTTTCCCCCCTGGTCCTGTTCTCCAGCTGCGCTTTCCTTTCCGCAGCTCAGCACAGCGGAGTCCACAACAGCCTGCCGGTGTGAGGAAGGGACTCTGAGATGACACGCTCGTCTCTCCAGCTATCGGCGGCATCTCTAGGAACACAGGAATTCTGTGACAGAGAACACGGATGGCGCCGTGTGACAACCATGTCCCTATGCCAGGTGTTTTCATTAATGTCCTGTTTTGGATGAGATGGGAGGACCCCGGGAGAACTCCACACCACGACTCTCCTGAAAGCGACCGAAATAAAGCAGCTGGAGGGGGCGGCAAGCACACGTGACCAATGCGGTCTGCCTTTGCTTGGATGCTGCAGTGTAAACATGGCTTATCTTCTTGTTCCACAGCAGAGTGTCACCCGCAGGAGAACGGAAGGCATTGCACTTACGAGGGGACGCGAACAGCTAACACTCCATCAGAACTAGCAGCAGGTGTTGGTTCAGTCATTAAATAATCTTTGGAACCTAGTAAACCAGATAGGGACACATAGTTTTCTTCTTTTTCCACTTCAAAGAGGGGCCACCCTGCAACTCAGGGAAGGAAGATTTGTTTAGGGAGGGGAAGTTTAGGCCAAGACTTTGGGTGAGGTCAGATGAAGACTGAATATAGGCAACATAATTAACCAGAATCTAATGGATACTTTGTTCAAGTTGGGTCCATAGCGTTTTGGGTTTAAGACAAATAATGATTGTCTAAAGTTACAATTTGTTTCTACATATGCCGTGTACATTTGAAGAAACGACAGGAAAGGCTGCCAGATAGAAAGCCTCAGGGGTGTGGGCAGCAGGGACATTTGCAGCCTGCATTTCCTTCAGCCAGGGGATGGACATCAGATCTATTTACCTCTGATTCCTTCTAGATTTTTCCTCTAGGATATACCACTTTCCAAATCGGAAGTACCATTGCTTACAATCTAGTCTTCTTTCTTTTTTTAAGAACACAGTAGCACGAATACAGGAGGAAGCATCATTGTTTAACGCTACTCAGGATTTACATATTTATTTAGGTAGAAAATGCTTTGAACACTCTGGGGAAACAGGGTTCAGTGATAGAAGAATATTTTGGGGACCTTTTTTTTTGCATTTTTTAAAGGATATACATTCGTATGATTTTTGCGTCCAAATATATTTTAAGGCTGTTTGGTAAAATATATACCAGATACAAGGCTCGGTTTATAGGGTTTTGCTATTACAGGGGATTCTTAACTACTCAGCTTTATAAAAAAGTAAAACTTTGAGGCTTGACATGCTGTAACATCAACCGTGCCCCCCCATGCGTAGTGGAATGTAGAGGATGAGGAAGAGGCCGGTGTCGTCTTAGCAACGCCCCAGCTGCAAGGCTGCCTCACTGGGTACCCACGCAGTGACCGGAAGGGACCTTGGGGACGGTTTAAAGTGCGAGCCACTGGGCAAACACAAAGTACGACAGGGGTGTCGAAAGCTTTGCTCCTATGGCCAAGTGCATGGTGCTCCTTAAGCATTAGGAGGGAAGACCTGGGATGGGGTGGAACCCTGCCTGGACTTGAACTCTGAGATCAGGGCCACGGGCGAACAGATGGCTCTGTGTGGCATCTGAACTCCTGTGCCGAAGTCTGGTTACGACTCTGAGCATGTAAATATAATCTACCCGAAGCCGGTTAATCAGCGCCAACCTCTCCCTTCTCGGCACCCTCAGAGTCATGACTACTGATAACCTTCCTTCAATTCCATGGCTGGAAATCACCATGCATGACCTTTCTCCCACCCCTTTCACGTCTAATACAGGCAAGAAACATATTCTTAACTTCAGCACTACTGCATAGGACCAAAAGAATTCTGGAAAAATACAAGTAGAAACTAGTGTTTTTTTTCTTCTTAACCATTTTAACTGATATACTTACCACTCACATTCATAGTTCCTATACAGTTTACAACATCACAACTGTCATCAGCAACAAGCAAACTCCTGTCAAGGTACCCTGGGAAAGTCAAGTGATAGCAGTTGGAGGACGCATGTGACATACGTGTAAAGCACATGTAGCGTGAGCAGTGAAGTCTTAGAAAATGCTATGTGTAATGGTTTAAGTTACGAAGGGATAAAAATACCATGACCATTTCTTAGATTTTTTTCCCTCTCTGTATTCTCTGGGCTCCTGTCAGCCCTTTCCAGGGGTCCCTCTCTTAGGGGAACATTCGACTTAGCTTTGAATATAAATAAAGATTCTATGCTAGATTTTTTTGGGTTGGGGTTATCCTTGTCATTTCCTTTTGGAGAAACACATGGTGGGGACATTGGAGAGACCCCTTTTCTGTCATCACAAATGTCAACCAAGGAACCCCGTGCTTCCTGGGGTGGCAGGGCTTCCTGGTGGGGGCATGGGAGAGCTCAGTTGGGGACAGTAGCTCAGATGAGAGGGAACAGGTTTGTCTGTCTTTCCTGCCCTTCGAATTGTAGCACCTTCCACTTGGATGTCTAATGCCTCTCGGAGTGGGGAGATGCACCCGTTTGTAGTGACCTCTAGTTATCACACAATTTAGAAAAATAGAAATAACAAAGTGAAAGCGAGGTTCCATCTCAAGAGGCCGGCCCTCTGCGAACAGGACGGCAAGTCAGGGCTCACCATGCCCGTTCGTCAGAGCCGATGTCCTTCCCGAGTCAATCCTGCCATGAGCTCAGCCAAACTAGGAATCGGAGCGTCCACTGTCTACGGTGCAGAGAACACGGCAAGGGCGAATCTGGTGGAGGGTGAGACAGAAACTACCAGGTAGGCAATAAACTGTACAAGTGTTTTGCGTAGAAGAACAAAACCAGGAGCGCGTGGCCACCGCTGGTCCTCAGAGCCGAGTCTGGGCCTCGGGGATGTAGATCTCAATGCTGTCTGCCCTCTCGGTGGCCGAGTTCTGGCGGAAGGAGGCGGCTCTCTTGGCTGCCATGAGCCTACGGCGGGCTTCTTGGCGCTGTCGATCCGGCAGGTCCAGGGACTTTTCCCTTGTGATGGGGAATTTCCCCTTGGGGGGCTTCTTTGGTATTGGAGGGGGGATCTTCCTTTCTTCCTGAAAAAGCATCACAAGTCACATGATGGTCAGGGAAGGTCATGGAGAGGTCACAGAGGCAAGTGAAGATGTGAGGAAGAAGTCTGGGGTTGGTCAGAGGGGAGCTGGGGGGGTACATCAGGAGAGGGGTCCGGAAGAGGAGGTGGGGGAGGTCACTGGGGAAGTGGAAGGAGGTCAGAGGAGAGATGGGAGGGGCCATGGCAAGGTGGGAGGCGGGATCACAGAAAGCCATGAGGAGGTCAGAGGGAGGTAGAGGGGAGAACCTGAAATGCTGAGTCCTGGAGTCCTGGTTCATCCAGCTTCTGTTTGATCCCCTGCCCCTGCCAAGTTCCCTCTACTGATGCCCAATGAGGCAGCTTCATCTTACAGCACTCCCTTTTATTTATTTATTTATTTATTTGGAGGGTCACCTTTCTAAACTTTCTAATTTTTCAGTGGAGACGGAGGTATTTGGGGTTGCATCGACAAATCAAGAAAATAAACTGCACCTCGACAGAGACATTCCCCTAGCTCCCGCAAACCAGAGTTCATCCTTTATCCCTGTACTTTCCAAAGCAGCATCCTACCTTGGTGTAGGAGGGCCTTCTGTCTATGTGTTGCTTTCATTGGTAAATAAAGGAACTGCTTTGTGCCTATAGCTGAGCTGTAGGGGAACAGAGCTAGACAGGGAAAACTAAATGGTATGCTGGGAGAAAGGAGGCTGCGTCAGAGAGACGCCATGGAGCCGCCAGAGACAGAAGCTGGGAATTTTACCCGGTAAGTCACTGCCATGTGGTGATACACAGATTAATAGGAATGGGTTAAATTAATATAAGAGTTATCCAATAAGAAGCTAGAGTGATTGGGCCAAGCAGTGATTTAATTAATACAGTTTCTGTGTGGTTATTTCGGGGCTAAGCTAGCCAGGAGGCAGGGACGAATAAGTGGGACCTCCTCACTACCTGAGTGGTAGTGAGTGTCTTGAGGGAGTGTGGAAGTGGTTGTCTGATGTTTGTGGGACAGGATACATGCTCATGAAAATAATTTTATGTGCACAGAAGCCCCATAGGTCCCTCAGCTAACTTCTCAATCATGAGCCTAAACCCACATTGACTTTACTGTGAGCACATACATAATTACACATCTATGCACATATTTCCATCAGTTTCGAGTCGCAAACAATTCACATCCAAAACCATATGCATCTCCAGAGAGATAACTTGAACAAATTGGAAACATACATAATGCAGAAGGCTTGCAAACTCTTTAGCGGAGGGCTTGCATTCTGGGACAGCATTCCTGAAGGCAAATCTGGACCTACCCTGGATATTGTGAGACTCCTGCCTAAGCAGAGAGCTCTCGCCTGACTCTCCAGGTCCAGGAATCAGGGTAGTGTGTGCCTATGCCCACAGTGGCATGCTGGAAAAAGCGAGATGCTGTCTCGGCGTCTGAAATTTGTTCCCAAGGCTGGAAGTCATGGCCCACCCTCGACTTCTTAAGCTACCTAAGAAATGTAACTGTCACATGAAGCACACAGCTGCTCATCTCTCGCCTCCTTTCTCGGTGGCTCTGAAATGCACACCTGCGACAGATAAACTCCCCGTGAGCTCCCTCTGCAAGGGGCTTCAGAGCTCACAGGCTGCAGCAGAGGGGCAGGGGGAAACAGGGGCCTTGCAAGGCTCGGGACTCTGTCTTCAGAGGTTACTAGAAGGGGCAGGCTTTCCTTTAAGGTGTGGACCGTCTGCTCTGCACTGGGGTGAGTGTCCTGAGCAAGAACATATCCCAGGAGACTTGCTCCAGGGGGCTCCTCTTGCCCATGGGTTCCAGAGGGGCAGCTGCTTGCCTGGGGGCTGGATTGGGGAGCACTGCTTTCAACATTCCACTCGTGGGCCATCTTCTCATGGCCTCAGAATCATGGGAAGGGTGGGCTTGCTCCTGTGTTCCCACACCCCTCCCGTTATGTGGTAGGAGGAGTTTGTTCACTGCCCTCAGGGACATCTCCAGCTGCTGGGGCTGCTGGCGTTAAGCCCCACTGATTATCAGCCCTGTCTTTGAGGAAGTCCAAACAGTGAGGCGTGAGCCCTCGCTGGTTTTCATCCTAATTCCTTAGCTACCCACGTTCTCGCTCACATATTAAACAATACTTCCCCTAACTATTATTAGTCTATTTTCCTGGCAACTTTGTTCTACTTCATTTTGAGACAGAGTCTCACTATGTATTCTAGGCTGGCCACAAACCTACAATCCTCCTGCCTCAGTTTCTCAATTTTGGGAATTCAGGCATATACCACCATATCTGATTGGAGCTTCATAAAAGAAAAGTGTGTGTATATGGGTGCATATGCCTGTGTGTGGGTGTACACATGCCACAGTGAACCTGTGGAGATCAGAGGACACCTTGTAGGAGTTGGCTCTCTCCTCCCAGTCTCAGACCTTCAGGTTTAGTGGCAAACACCCTTACCACTGGGCAATCACAGCCCCTCTAGCTGTAACTCAGTTGAACGGACGCTATCTGTGTAGGAAATTCAGATCATGATAACTTCTCTGGGGAGCTTGTAAGTGGGTGCATGTCCTGTGGACTTAGACTGCATCCTAGGACTCTCCTGAGATGACGTCATCATTAAGCAGAGAGTCAACATTCAGACTGGATGCCAATTTTCAGCCTACTTAAGGATGGGGCTCTAGAGGAAGATCACACCCTCAGCCTGCTTGGAAAGATTTCAATGCTGTCTTGTCCTTCGCTCCTCACATGCCCCAGGGAAGCATATTTGAACAGAAGATTGGCATCTTAGCCAGATCTGAGATCTTACCTGTGGGAGGTTGTCTAAATACAATCCAAGCAGGAGTCGGGTGAAAATGAGCCAGGTTTTATCCCTGGAGGAAGCTAGATTATAGATGCAGGGATCTTTGGTGCTGTCTCTGAGATGTTTGTGTACTGGAGATATAGTAAGAGACCCACTTCTAGTCACACAGCCAGGACATCCATTCTGTCTATTTGTGCATGCGCTTCACACACACACACACACACACACACACACACACACAAAATCAACAACCACAGGTGGAGAAGTTGGTGAATTGGCTATCATACAGTCAGAAGCCCACACGCACAGTGCTCAAGACCCGCCACACCACGTGACTTCATTACCTTTCTTTCGGGTGACTCTATTATCTTCCAGTCGTTGAGCTTCAGCTGGTGCAGCTCATCGAACTTCATGCTGACATCTTCCACAGACAGCTGCAGCATATCCCAGTAGCCAGCCAGATCCTGCGATGTCGGCCTTGGCATGGCGCTGGGGTCCTGGGGGCACACGGGGACGTTACAGGGGCCGCTCTTTCTTCCTCTGTCACTCAAGGACTCGGAGGAGGAGGAGCTCCACTCATTTGAAACATAGCAGGAGATGCTTGCTCCACGACCCTATCCAAGTTAACCTTAGCCCAGGTATAGGGCGGGGTGGCAGCTTAGAAAAATGCAGCATTAACCCTTCAGTGTTTCAGCTTGGAACTCCCGGGGGCTAGGATGCTCAGTGGGTAGATACTTCCCAAGTACCTACTTGGGTTTCCTGGGTTACGCCCTTCAAACAGTTCGCAGCTCATAGACGCAGTTGAGCCGTGTAACTCAGGAAGAACAGGGCTGTGCATGTCTGGTGGCGAGACCACTGGGGTTGCAACCACGTATTTCATGGCGTTTATTTTGATGGGGCCTAGGTCTAGGTCTGAGGATCAAGTATGACTTCAGATGTAATTTAGTTTCCTCCCATGCAGAGCCAAGGCAGTCTCTTGAAGGAACAGAGGAATCAAGAACCAGCAGCCCCCTCCCAATACAGCTTAGCCTGCTCATCAGCCCCCCTTCCCAATACAGCTTGGCCTGCTCAAGGGGTGCCACTCAGCCATCCACAGGAGCCCCTGGGTTGGTTCTGAGTCCAAGATGCATGCTATTTCTGCACAATTTTGGTTCACTTAGTTTTTATTCTGACAATCGAGTGCTAATTCTGCATGGGGTTCTCTTGATTCAGTAGAATCAAGTTTCAGTAGAAACTATGCCTGTTAGACATCACTGAATTCTCACAGGCACCCAAATAACAGCCTATGGCACCAGGGAGAGTCGTGGGGGCGGAATAGAAGGTGAACTCACAATGTGTTCCTCCTAAGTAGGATCGAGTGCTGGATTTGGCGTTTGGGCCTGTTCTTACATTGAACCACTAGAGGGCGATCTCTGTCCATGCTGAAGCAGTTTTTATGCTACCTGACTTTCTGTCTTGTTCTGCTTGAGCACAGGGAGGCATAGCTACACTGTAGCTATTGCTACACCGCACAGATTCAAGACCTGCACAACTTCGGGACACCTGGGTGGGGTCTGGCTTTCCCTAGAGTGGGTTCTCTCCCTCCCTCTCTCCCTCCCTCCTTCCCTCCCTCCCTCCCTCCCTCCCTCCCTCTCTTCTTCTTTTTTTTTTTTTTTTTTAGACAGAGTTTCTCTGAAGCTTTGGAGCCTGTCCTGGAACTCACTCTGTCGACCAGGCTGGCCTCGAACTCACAGAGATCCACCTGCCTCTGCCTGCTGAGTGCTGCGATTAAAGGTGCAAGCCACCACCGCTCGGCCCCTAGGGTTTTCTCTTAAACTTACCGATTGGCAAACTAACTAAAATGTCTACCACCAGCAGCGACCCAGAAACCATGAACCACCACTCTGAGGGCAAATAAACAAGCTCAGTCTTTTGCCTGTGTCCCCTGACACCATTCCCCAACAAGGGTCTTAGAGACCCCAAAGAGAAGCCAAAAGAAAAGGAAAAGAGCTAGCCAGATGTTTTTGAATCTGAAAGGTATCAAAGCTGTCAGAACGGATCATTTCAAGCCTAAGCCAGCGGCATCCAGCGCAGAAGAGGTGAGCATTTCCAAAGCTGCAGGCTAGGCTTTGCCCTGACGCAGCAGAGTCTGTATCTTGGAGCCCCAGAGGCTGTCTGGCCACCCTGACAACGACCACCCGACATACAGCATTCCTTACGATCAAACCAATCTTGCAGACATAGTATATAGAGGAAGGTGGTGCGACACATAATAGCCAGACATTATTAGTCCAGCTTCATCTTCCAAGGTGGCAAAGTTCCCTTTAAATGTCGCCAGAGCTTCATGCCAAAGGTGACATGTTGTAAGTCTTAACCTCATGATGCACTTTAATGGGCTAGCTGGAAAATGTTAGAGAAAACATTATCCTTAACAGCCCCAAGGAAAGACCTGGATCTGCAGCTCGGGGGGCTGCACCTGCAAACGCAGAGGAGCAGGCTGTGAGTTCACTGTCTCCATGTAAGTTAACAAGCCGAGCACCCTCCGAACACCTGCCGCCTTTGCCATGACAGCCCCGCAGAGTCTTCTGTCTTCACGGAAAACGTTCGGTATTAAGTATCTGGAGTGTAAAATTGCCCATAAAGAGCTATGCATACGATTCAGCTGTTTCTCATGGAATTATATGAGTGATTTAGTCAGACGATAACCAAATAATGTGTGTGTGTGTGGGGCAATACATGGGTACATGCATATGTTGATATATGAAGGTTAGTATGTATGGACATACATGCAGGTATATAAACACACACACACACACACACACACACACACACACACACACACACACACATACACACGTTTCTCCTCTCTTTTCCAGGAAGACCCAGGATCTATGCCAACTGCATTCATAAATCTAGCCCAGGACACATTCATTTCTGTCCTGACTGTAAGATATGCAAAGGCCAAATGTCTTCTTTTCTTTTTTTTTTGATTTTAGAGACAGGGTTTCTCTGTAGTTTTTGGTGCCTGTCCTGGAACTAGCTCTTGTAAACCAGGCTGGCCTCGAACTCACAGGGAGCCGTCTGCCTCTGCCTCCCGAGTGCTGGGATTAAAGCCATGCACACCACCGCCCGGTTCAAATGACTTCTAAGATCTCTCCTTAATTCTCTATATGAATATTTGTCTTGCTCAACACCCCCATAGATGCTTTCCTTTACTGCAACCTTGGCCATCACAGCATTTCATTTTCTACCTCCGCTTCTGAGAGTTTTCTGGGAGCAGAGCCAGCAGTGGAGGCACAGTGAGACTTTCCCTCTCACCTGCATGCCCTGCTCAGTCTCAGCCCCAGCTTCCAGCTGGAGCTGGGACCTAAGGCGTGAGTTGCTGGGGCCTGAATGCAGATAACCAGGGATAGGTGTATGAGTCCCAGGCAGAGATGGGATGTTGATCCTTGGCGATATACATCTCTAGAACTGAAGTATGGACAAGATGTGTGGGTTTCTGAGCCCTAGGTGTGTCTCCAGGGCCAGGGTGTAAGTCCCCCGAGGTGAGTCCCTAAGGCTGAGGTATGGATCATCAGGGATTCTTTGTGGGTCTCCAGAGTTAGGAAGTGAGTCTAGGGCTGGGCTATGTTCCTTCTCACCCATTTTCCTGCTTAGGGGCACTTCCACCAACAAGGAGTGTGATGGTCTGAATGAAAACACCCCCAAGGGGTCATATGTTTGACTACTTGGTCTACACATGGTTGAACTATTTTGAAACGGGGGAGGGGGATTAGGAGGTGTGGCCTTGTTGGCAGAGGTGTGTCACTGGGGGTGGACTTTGAGGTTCTAAAAGCCCAGGCTATTCCTAGTTAGCTCTCTCCGCCCCCAGCTCGAGGAGGAAGATGTAAGTTCTCAGCTACTGCTCTAGCGCCATGCCCGCCTCCCTGCCGCCATGCCCGCCTCCCTGCCGCCATGCCCGCCTCCCTGCCGCCATGCCCGCCTCCCTGCCGCCATGCTCCCCACCGCATGAACACACCCTCTGAAACCGTGAGAAATGAATTTTTCCTCTAGAGGTTGCCTTGGTCATGCTGCTTTGTCACAGCAACTGAAAAGTAACCAGGAGTCTGTAAAAAGGTACGCTAGGTACATCTCAGCTCTTGTGCGACGGGACCACCATGCCACTTACCATATTCTGCTGACAAAGCCAGTAAAACTGCTGGAACTTCTGAGACATGAGCAGCTGGGCGCTCCCCACGGCACTCCTGATCTTGCCTAGAACTGGGAGACACAGGACAGATCAGGACCTAGTCAGTAATGACCAGAGCAAGAACACGCTGCGTCCAGCAAGCTGTGACCAGCACTGCCCTCTATGCCTTTGTCCTGGGGTTAGAGCTTAGTGTGGCCCCTGCTGAACACATCCATCAGCGGAAGTTTCCATTTTTTCCCAGCTCATGAGAATACACAGTTAACAGGGTGCCAGCTATGAGGGTGTCATCACTGGGTGCCGGGGATGGTTAAGCTCACTAAAGTGGTATGTATTACAGGATCTGAGTTTGTTTAGTGTGGATGCTTGGGTGAGCCCTTATTGAATAGCCATGGACTCCTGAAGACCTAGTAACCAGTACTGAGATGGTCACTCATCAGTTCTGACGAAAGTACATTGGTATCTGCCATCTCACTGAATTTAGTTAAATTCTCCAATGAACTGAGTGTAGCTACCTCCTGGCAATGTCAGAGCTGTGTCTCACATACAGAGGGGCTACCCAGAGGGCAGCCACACAGGAAGGTCATGTCGTACCTCAGAATCAGCCACACAGTAGGTCTGACTGGCTGATCAGACCCTTCATGAGGTTAATGTTATCTTGCTAACCACGTCTCCAGCAGGACTCAGCTTTGGGCTACAAAGGATCCTGATCCTCCATAGCTTTATGTGGTTAGCCAAATATTAAAATTTAAAGTAGCAAAAAAATTTTTTTTTTGTCCACGTGTAGGATTTAACACATTGCAATGGCTTCTCAATTTAGACCAGGAAAATGGAAGACTTTGTCTAAGAGAACGTAAGGCAAAAGCTCCGGTTCCTGCCCTTGAACTTCCTCATTGTCCCTCCCCCTCTTTCCTGTGAGTGCAGCACCATCCTGAAAACAGTTGCTTTGTGGATCCCACTCACACAGGCCTCAAAAGCATCCAGGAGCCAAAGGGAACCTTTCTTCCCGCTGGACCCTTCTATCTCTGCCCAGTTTCCCTCCCCGACTCCTGCTCGTACACCACCTGCAGAACTCGTACAGTGTGGCTTTCTAGACCCCTCTCTGTGCCACTGCCTGGTTATCAGGCTCAGCTGCCACCTGTGAGCTTCTCCTTCCAGCTTCCTTGTGGAGCACAGACATTCACCCCATTCCAAGTCCTTGAAATAAATCGTTGCGGGTTGGCTCCATTCTCCTAGACTTCTCTGGAAGAGAGCTGTGATTAACATCTGTCTGCTCTGTCTGGGGGAACATAGCCAAGGGTGAGGGAGAGAGGTGTTCTGGAGCTCTGTCCCCCAGGAAAGCAGAGCCAGAGGACCCATTGCTATGCCTTGGAGAGCTGTGTGTTTCAGCTGGCTGTTCATACTCTCGAGGTTATGGAGTAAAGTCAAAAGATCTTTCAGACCAGCAGAGGACCAGCAAGCAGGCCCTATGCTAGTCTATGGTGCTGTCTACCACCACGGCCCAGCAGTCATCTCCAGGGGATGAAACTGAGGTTTGGAGACATGGTCTCAGTTCCTGTAGCTTACTCCTTGAAGGCTAGCTCCCCAAAGACCAGCGATGGCGACAACCAGTCCCAGGGCCAACAATTTGAGGGCTGAGGATGCGCTCAGTGGAGAAGTTCACTGTTCGCATTAAGTGAGTAATGGGTTGGAGCACCCAGAATGCAGAGTCACAAAGAAACATTCTACATATACCAGATACTGGTATCAGAATGTCTGAGCTGATAGGCCAGTTGCTTCCATATTCTTTTCCTTAGCCAGACTTGAGGACAGAGAGCACGTGCTCAGACCAGTGCTAGAAGGCTCTGAAGATAATGCTGGAGAAATAGTGGGCTGATGACAGAGGGAGTTAAGACTAGGAGACTCAGAGGTCAATCACAGGGCACTGTGCAGAGGGCATCCTTCACCTCTTCAAAGCCAGGGGTGGCCCTTGAATATCATGTGCTCTTGAAAGTGATTAAACACTTCTTATTTGGGTGTGTTTTCTCTTCTTCCTTCCTTCCTTCCTTCCTTCCTTCCTTCCTTCCTTCCTTCCTTCCTCCCTCCCTCCCTCCCTCGCTCCCTCCCTCCCTCTCTCTCTCTCTTCCTTTCTCCCTTCTTCCTCCTCCTCCTCCTTGTAGATTCTTATTCTCTAAAAATTGATCATGGAAAATTCCACATTTGTGGAAGATGAGAGAGACGAATCTAGCAAGCACTTCTGTCTGCGTCTCTCCCAGTCAACAGCCGAGGCTGCGACGCTTCATGAGCCACCCAGAAGCCATGCTTCAACCCACACTTTAGTCTCATAATATCAAACCGCACATCCTCGCTTCTGAGCACGTATTGCTCGCCTGCTATGGTCTAAGTCTAGGTTGCTTCTAGGATGTTCAAAAAGGTATACCCCGGAACATTTAATCACTGAGCAAATGCAACCACACTGGATTCCTTTCCGCCTCAGGAGAATGGGAGATTATAGGTCTTGATCTGTGGATCTCCATCAGACTGTGATGGGCAGAAGGGAAGGGGAGAAAGGCTAGGATATGCGGGCCCTTGGTGATGGCTCAGGTCCAGCATCCCCTTTTAGAAATGCTTAAGGAAGGAGGGTGGTGAAGTGCAGATTATTTTGGATTTGGGATATTTGCTTATACATAATGAGACATTGAGGGATGGGACCCAAGTTTAACCACCAAATTCACTTAAACATCACTATGCCGTCTACGCATGCCTGCAGGTGCTTCCTACACATCAGCTTTTGAACGTTCATGCTTTGCCTGCAGTCTGTCCCATGAGGTCAGGTGTGGAATTTTCCACCTGTCTAATCATGCCACTGCTCAATGTGTTTTGAATTTGGGATTTTTAGATTTGGGTTCAGGCCTGTAGTAAAGAGCGAGAAGGATGTAGGGATAGGGAGGTGTCTGTGGGCAGGACTTGGAGCAGAATCTCAAAGAGGGACCGAAAAGCACACTATCCCCCATTCACACCTGATGCCCTACAGGAGTATGACCCCATTCACACCTGATGCCCTACAGGAGCATGACTCCATTCACACCTGATACCCTACAGGAGCATGACCCCATTCATACCTGATGCCCTACAGGAGTATAGTTCCATGCACACCCAATGCCCTACAGGAGCATGACCCCATTCACACCTGGTACCCTATAGGGGCATGACCCCATTCACACCTGATGCCCTACAGGAGCATGACCTCATTCACACCCGATGCCCTATAAGAGCATGACCTCATTCACACCCCATGTCCTACAGGGGCATGACCCTATTCATACGTGATGCCCTATAGAAACATGACCCCATTCACACCTGATGCCTTATAGGAGCATGATTAACAGTCTTGGTGTCCAGAAGGTGAATATTTTGCTTCTGGAAGGTGGGATTTCTGTTTCACTCTACCTTGTAACACAAGCAACTGATAATATTAGAAGGGCTCATTCTCATCAAACGTGTGCCATAAAACCAGAGATGTATTTGCTTTACTAACTCCATTTCTTTAAATTGTAAGAAAAAACTGATTCTTTCTTCCAAATTTGAAGCTTAAATGCTTAATCTTTGTGTTCCCCTGAAAACGGAATTCTATGGGGGGGTATCCATATAAGACTGTAATTCATAATCTTTAGCACAACGTGCATATATGGCAACTCTAGGCATGGACTAACGTGGAGTCGTTATTGTTGCAGGTTTACACTAAGCAGTGCCAGGGAGATAAAGCATGGTGGGTCCTGGTTAATAAGCAGCTGCTAATGGCAGGTGAACTTGGCCTCTTCGAGAATGGGAGCGATCCTATCTGAGGCCTATACTGTAAACAGCCTCCTGTAATTGCAGGGAATTTGAAGTGAAAATTCAATTTATTCTTTACCACTCTGCTTGCTGAATTTTGTCAGAGGTTCAACAGTGTCCTCTTAAGAGCTGCAGATAAGGGCCGGTACTCATCAGCATGCAAATTCTCAGAGAAGCTGACGGAACCCAGGCCTTTGGTGCACACACACACACACACAAAATCTGATTAGCTAACTTGGCTCTTGAAATTTATTTTCCATATGTTTCGTTTAATTTCTAATTCTATGAAAATTTGCTAGGAAATGCCAGCACCATATTCTGAAATTCAGAGTGGACTTTAGAGAATCTGCAGAATTTGAGAGGACTGTCTGGTGTTGGCAGCCTCTCTTAGGATCCCCTGGTGATGAATTCTGCAGTGTGGGAGGTGGGCCCAAAAATGTCCCTTCAGGCCCCAGGTCTTGTCTCTTTCAGGTCATGAGCATATAACTTGGGTGTCTGGTTCCACACAGGCTCTCCCCACATTGTTAGTTAGACTCTGGCTGGCTGATAACATTGCCAGCCTGGCCCCCAAACTGGACATACACTCCAGCCTGGCTCCTCCCAGAAGTCTGTAAGCAGTGGGTATCCCCTCAGCTTACAAAGGGACAGGCTGATAATGCGCATGCATCCTCCCTGTACTTAGTGCTGCTGTCTGTATCCGGAATCTGGTTTGCACAGAGGCCATCATTACTTCCACTCTCTTCCAGCTGCTTCAGATGTCCTGGCCAAGCAGAGGCAGGGACAGTTTCTCTTCAGCGTTGAGCTCCTTACCCGCGCTCTGTTTATCATCTTCCCTGACACTGTTTGGTCTTACATGAATAGGCCTTATAACTGGACACACACATTTGTACCCCTCGTGGAAAACGGCCTGGGAAACCCCGTGGCAGGCACCTGTCCCACTTTGGGATTATGTGACTTCTGACTTATTTGTCCTGACTGTGAGAGAGTACCTAGGATGACTGACCTCTAAAAGCTCTCCCTGATTGCCTGGAGCTCCTGGCATCCAACTGGGGAATGCTCAAGTGAGCAGATGTTGGGGGGTTATTTAGATAAGGAACCCCAACACCCATCACTGGCATGACTGTACATGTGCTCCTGTATGGGTCTTGAGAGCCCCAGCTCTGTGCAGTCACTGAACAAGGTACTTGGGACATTTTCCTTTGTTTCAAAAGACTTAGTAAGTTTTGGTTTTATGTCACTTCCTCACCTGTTTGTTTTAATTAAGATGAAAACCCCCACACTCTAGTTTTACAGCCGTCGTCAGCATCTCCTAAATATTTCCATTTTTGCATTGTAAGTCTGAGGCCTGCGCAATAGGACTTAACCAGAACCAGTTTGTATTTGGCTCAGGCTAGCCTTTATTAGCCACACGGCACTGAGTAAAACCAGATCCATTCATTCAGTTCAGTGAACTGTGATCACAAAATTATAGTTTGGGCAAAAATTATTTCATGTAATGGAAATTTCGATACTCAGAGCTCAGAGTTTTGGCTTAATAAGCCATTTAATTTAATCTTAATTTTAAAAGGGTGGAGACTGATGACTGTTGCTAAAATAGGAACTAGACTTGGAGGTTATCTTGCTTTTAAACATTATCAGGGAAACACGAATGTGACTAACCCTGGGAGAGCTGCATGTGCAAGTCACACAGGGGAGGTGCAGTTACAGCCATGCCATCCCTGCTTATGCGTGTCCCGGAGTTTAGAATTTGGGGAATATCAAAGCTTCTACTCCCTGTGTGCCTTGTGTTCAAGGCTTACAGTGTGGAAGTCATGCTCAGTGGGGGAAAAAACATTAAGTCAAACATGCAGCGGCTCTTTCGGTGTTAGGACCATGCGATGCCCCCACCCCACCCCTGAGGGCACAGACCAGTGCCCTGACATTCCGGAATTGCTTATAGGAGATGGGGAGGACCGTGAATGTTGCTCTTCGATAAGCTTGCCCTCCTCCCCACCTTCTCTTTCTTCCCAGTTCTGGTTTGCAGAGGTCTTTGTGTGAAGGTACCACGGATGCGTAAAACACATCAACTGTGATCTCAGCATTCAGAGACCCAGAAGTCTCCAGGACAGTGCAAAGGCAACCCTTGAGAAACATCGATCTCGTCATGGTATGGAATGATACTTCTGCCAGGCAGGTGTGAAGGGCAGTGTTTAAGTGGTGGTCTCCGCAGGAGCCAGACCACAGGTTCCTGCTTCTGTGCTCTGTGTCTCTTTTGTGTCTGTGTCTCTGCTTTCTGGACCGTCAGAGCATAGCACAAGTCCACACTGTCCACAAAGGCACTTGGAAAGATTCTGCATGGAAAGTGCCTCTCGGATCGCGAGTTTTGAAGAATTTTAGCTACACTTCTCTCATTACCCTCGTGTCTTGTTTTTCTAGCCTATGGCTTCTCTTGGTCCTTCCTCTCTCACTCCTCCCTTCTATGCCAAAACCCACTCATTCTTGTTTGATTTTGGCCTATACAGAGTGGCTAGCCCATGCAAGCACTCAATGAACTCCTGCTGACCACAGACATCACTAATAAAGAGTCCAGAAGATGACACTCACAATCCCCTAAATGTCAGCTAGCACATTTAAGAGACTACAGCCAGGAGGTGGGGACATTTGCTCTGGTCTCTAGTTGGCCTAGTGGGGCTTTTCCAGAGCCAACGGCTGTCAGGCACACATCCCACACACTGCACAGCTGTGACCGCCGGATCATGCGACCACTGCAGCTACGTACGAGCGCGTTTGTGGTACAACAGGAACTTCACAGTTTTCTGGGATGCCCCCAGAGAGAAGAAAATTACAACCTGTGACCATGCTCCACCTCTGTATTTCCACAGCCCTGCTCCAATGACCTATCAGCCTAGGAATTCTCCCTGGACCACAAATGGTGTCGACAGCAGTGGTGAATGAAAAGACAGACTGTGTCGGGGGGGAGGGGTAGGGGGCCCATATTTTCTGGAAAAGCAGAAGAAAATGGACAGAGTGAGGATCTCTCCAGAAATGGAGCAGTCACATACAGAATGGTGAACGTGCGAGGCAGACACCCAATGCGGGGCGGAGCAACGGGTGATAGGAAACCCCCGGTACCGCCCATGCTTGACAATGTCACCTTTCACCTTATGACAGTGAGCACCAAGGCACATGTGTGACATGCTTAGCATAGACCTTGGCAGACAATACATGGTCAGTAAACATTGTCTTTAAAGAGTGTATAACCCTTGGGAAAAGTACAGTGTAGACCAAGCATGGAGAAGAAAATAAGGTGATGTCCATTATTTTACATACAGAGCAACCACTGTATCCACATTTGCATATTCAAAAGCAGATTGGAGCCTCTAGGATGCACAAGGATGGCGTGAGCACAAACGGTGTAACTGTCCTGGCGGGTGAGATGTTCTGGAGTTAGACGCGCTACCGTTGTGCCACGAGGTCACATGTGAGATGGTCTAGAGACATTTATGCCCCTCTTTTTGGTTGTCAGATTAATAGATTCCAAAGAATTGAAAAAAAAATTCCCAGGAATCCCACGTTGGTGGAAGGGAAAGGCTGAAGAGCCGGCCAGAGGAGGACCTGTTCTGACAGGTCACACAGACACGCTTACGTCTTCTCATTTTTGTTTAACCTTTCCTATAAACGTGACATTGCTACAGGAAAAGCTGAGAAAAGCCGGTAGTTCTCACTTCTTAATTTGGCCAAATTAACTGAATCCATTTTCCTTGATCAATGTGCTTACTAATTTAAGAATTGGTGGGTTTATTATTAGAACTGCCTCATAACAAAATGTCAGAATAAAATATAGATAGAACAATGATCTCTGAATCCTACTTTATCTGTCCCTCCCTCCCTTTCCTTTCTTTCCCCTCTTTCCCTCACTTCTGTCCTCTCTCCTTTTCCCTCCTTCCTTCCACGCCTCCCTCCCTATCTCATTCTTTCCATCCTCCTCTTTTTCTCTCTGCACCCCCTCTCGTTCCTTGTCCTCTTCCCCTCCCCTGATTCCCACCCCTATCCCAGCCTCTGGGAGCCACATTCACACATTAAACCACTTGATTCTACTTCTTGGTGGCGAACTTCTTCAAGTAAAAGAGAAGGAGGTAGAGAGGGAGTCTTTTACTCACTATGTGGGGTGGCGGGGACCTGAGAACCTGAGGGTGTGGACAGGCATGCACTGGGCATGCTCAATCGAGGGCTCTGTGGTTAGGAGAGTCCTGCTGTATCTGTAGTGGGCAATTCTTGCTTTGCTTTGGTGTTCCTTTAATGTCACGTCAGGGATTATAAAAACGGGACAGTTAATAAGAATGCTCTAAATCAGCGAAACGAGCGGTACGGCCCACCACTGGGGAAGGGTTAGCACGAGCTCATACTCAACCTACAGAATGAAGCTAAACTGAAAGATGAGTGCACCCCACGGGGTGTGAGAGCTGCCCGTCTTTCCAAATGTTTCGTGTTGCTTCTCAGGATCGAGCAGAGGTCAGCAGAGAACACTTGGCTTTCGTGTGCTCAAATGCGGAAGGAACATTTCCCTACCGGTACCGACATCCGTCCGTTTGCCTCACTGAGAGGTTACCAGTCCGACACACTGTGGGGAAAGGCAAAGGCAAACTCTTACTTTCTTCCGAGAGGTCGTTCTCCTCTGCTTCTCTCTCCATCTCTTTACACCAGCCTTCCATCCTCTTCGTCTCCGTGTGCAGCAATTTCAGGAACCATGAGCCGTCCCTTCGACACGGAGACATCCTCCCAGTCTCCACTGTGTCCAGTGAAGGCTCCAGCCAGGGGTCGGGTGGGGGCAGGGTGGCAGTGTCCACCTGTGTCCTGTAGTCCTCCCTGTAACTGAAGAGGCCCTGCGTCCGCACAGTCCTCAGCGCCCCGTACTGGGTCGGGGTGCTGGGCTCCGAATGTCGCTGGAAGGAGGATCCGAACTGCAGGCCCTTATCCTCCATGGTGATGTGTCCAGGGAAGCCCTCCAGCTCTAGGTCGGCCTGGACAGCCGCCGTGACGCTGTTTGAGCGCTTGAAACGACCGTGCCTGGAAAAGGAGGGAAGGAGAGAGAAGAGATGCTGCCTCGTTCCCAGGACCCTTCGTGGGACACTCCCGAGCCAAAGCTACACCCACTGGCAAGTTCAACTCGTGGTGCTTCAGTGTCACTGTGAGGAACACAGGGTGTGACAAATGAATGGGCTTCCACATCTACTGAACTCAAGTTCTAGGTACCACCCATCTGCCATTCAAGCGTACTGAGTGGGAGAGTGTGGCATGCCGAGGCTACCTTCTATGGAGCATAGCGGTTCTCAACCTTCCTATTGCCGCGACCCTTTAATACAGTTCCTCACGCTGTTTTGACCCCCAACCATAAAATATTTCTTTGCTACTTCATAACTGTAATTTTGTTATTGTTATGAATCACAATGTAAATATCTCCTGTGCAGGATACCTGATAAGGGACCCCCAAAGGGGTTGGGACCCAAGCTGGAGAACCACTAACCTAGAGACATGCTGTGTTTATGACCTGCGGTTTATATGTAAAGCAGCGCCCTCTGTAGATCTTTAGGTTATAATCTGAATTTCTTTGCAGTCCAGATCTTTCCTGTTGGGTCCTGAGACCCTTCCGGAAGGACTGCCCACATCACAGTCCTTAGGAGAGGGCGCCTGCAGCTTTCAGGGTAGAGCCTGGTGCTTTTTGCTGCTGTGTAGTTGGCAAGTATGTTCCTTACTACAAGGGAAACAATTTTCCTTCACTGCTTCAAAATGACATCATCTAGCTGGGCGTGGCGGCACAAGCCTTTAATCCCAGCACCCAGGAGGCAGAGGCAGGTGGATCTCTGTGAGTTTGAGGCTAGCCTGGTCTACAGAGTGAGTTCCAGGACAGCCCAGGCTACAAAGAGAAACACCGACTTGAAAAACCATGCATATATACATCTAAAAATAATAACGTCACAGATACACATTTGTTTTCTATTCTTTTAGGTAAAACTCTTAAAGTGAGACAATTTCAGGACATAGCTGACATCTGGCTTGCTCTCTTCCTCCTTCCCTTCCTTCTGCCTGGCCGCGTTTCTCCTCTTTCCCCCTTATTTCCAGCAATGTGAGGTGAGAAGCATGTCTGCCCTCCCTTCAGCCTAGTCTCCTTTTGAAAATGGATTCTGGATAAAGGACTTTGACCTTCCAGGGCTCTGAGCTATGATGATATTTTAATAGGGGTGAATTACTTTGAAAAGAATTACTTCCCTCTTTAAAAAAAAAAAAAACAAGACACAACCCATGTTCATTCAGACTTGAGCGACATGAACGGGCAGGGTATACATGAATGGCCTGTCTCCGCAGGCAGAAGGAATGACGGACACTCAGTGCGGGGAGAGCTGGAATCGCGCAGCCCCTGCTTAGCAAGCGGCTTGCTGGGGAGGGTGGGGGGAGTTACCGCTTCTCGTCTTCTACTTGCACACCAACAGAGTGGTACTCCCGCAGGCCTCGGCTCTCCGTGTCGGAATCCGTGGCTGTTTCTACCTAATTCAACACAGAACATCTCACGTTAGACCTGAGGCAGGGGATCTGGTCAGCCACTCTTTTCTTCTTGTTCATTTGCCGTAATTAATTGTGCATTTGTTTAATCAAAGCAGAAATGCACTTGACCCAGTAGAAACAGAATGAGGGACTGAGAGAGAGGGAGAGGGAGAGGGAAAGAGGGGTGGGGAGAAGGGCATTTATTTAGGGTATTTATATGGCTACTGGGTTTCATTGAATTTTTACATTACTACTTGAACTCAAGGCTGCTCTTGAGCCTTTTAGACATATGCAGATCAAATTGCTTAGTTCAGCTCAGGCAAAAAAAAAAAGTCTCTGCTGACGGCATGTCACAGGACGTGAAAGCTTGTATCACACTCCGCAGTGAAGAAGGTGAGGACAGGGTGAGCCAGACACAGCTAACAATGACAAATCAGCCATTGAGGAGGAGTGTACTGATGACTGCAGCCACACACAGAACGACACAGGAAGGGACGGACGAGGGCATCTCCGGGGACATGAGGAAGCCTTGTGGCTGCTGGGATGGCCAGCAGGCTGCTCACGGTGACAACAGAGACAGGCATCCTGAAGAGACTCCTCACCATGGCCCCGTTTGCTAGGAAGTCCCCCCAACCCACCAGGCATTTTAATGCCCGTCAGCCATGAGAAGCTGTTATGCAAGGGACCCCGGGGCAGGAAATTCTGTGAAGCCAACGCTGGTGAAGCTGTGGAGATTCTTCCAGGTACCAGATAGCCTCCCCTTTCCCCACAGCATCTGAGGCATCTCCAGGACCGCTGAGCCCAAGTCCAAATGTCATAATAGAAAAACACATTTTCTTAAAAATTTAAGTCCCTACCAGGAAGTAGTCAACACCTCGCCACTGTACCCTGTTTGTTTAGGAGGAGAAACCAGGCCTGGCTGTGATCTGTGGCTGCTCCTCCAGGCCCCATGAGGCCAGGGGACATGGCAGACATGTTTGTGTCTAATTTGCTTGACCAGGAGCCAGATACTTCCTAAGCTTTGTCGCTTGTCATCCACACAAAGACCCCGGGGCTGTTCCTCGAGGACCAGGGGAGGTGAATAGCTTGCCCAAGGGCACTCAGCTTAGCGGAGGCAGTGCCAGCATTCCAGCCCAGGTGCCCGTGACTTCAGAGCTCTGCTCTGTGCCCCTCATGGCCACGGGAGTCTCAGAGCTGCTGTGTTTCTTATCAAAGGGTGGAGGCTAGAGACTTCCTGCCCCTGTGAGACAGCTTTACAGGGATGGGGAGGGTGGGTGAGTGATCCGTGCTGCCAGGTTCCGACAGCTGGAAGGAGGGAGGGATCAGATGCAGGAAAACCATTCTGGAATGACAACCCTTACCTTCCTGTTGGGGGTCCCCATTCTGCCTTCTACTTGCAAGAGGCCATGGTCCTATTCAATTGTATGTGCCTTGCTGGACATGCAGATTACTGACACTTCATACAAAAGACCTTACTATAAATTAATATGTTTAAAATTCTATGTCAGGATATGGGGGCTACCACTTATTCATTCATTTATTTTGCCAGGGACAGAACTCAGGGGCTCTGCATACACTATGCAAACACTCTACTGCCGAATTCCATCCCAGCTCTGCCTTGTGTTTTAACTATATGCCAGTCGATGCTGTAAATGAAACTTAATTGGCCTATTTAGTCTTCAGTGGAGTGAGAATTTTGGTGAGGTCTAGCTTTTTGTCATAGTTCATGATGATTCTTATAAACGTACTTGAGCAAAGTGTTGGGAGTATCCTCATATGCCCTGTGGCTGTTGGGTCATTTTTTCACAGTCTTTGAAGATTTCACCACTTATTTTCTTGACACCTGGTCTTACAGGGTCACTCTACCTGGTCTCAAACTTATGGTCCTCTCGCCTTAGCCTCACACGTTCTGGAAGGTAGGCATGCACTTCCATGTCTGGATTTATATCACCAAATGTGAGTGATGAATAAGGTGAGCGGCATAAATCAACATCTATCCTCTCAGGGAGATTTCGAAGTGGAAACAGCACATATTTTTGTCATAAAAATATTGAAAATAGTTGTCTAATTTACTTCACTCCTGGGAATTCAGCTGAAAAAGACGGTAATACATTCTGACCCATGTGAGGTCTCCATCATAGTGTTATTTGTAAGGGGAAATATAGGAAAATAGAGGCTGTGAAAGGACTCTCCACTAAATCATTATTTAGTCATGATGATGGATGCCCTGCAATTATTTAAATGATGGTTGTAAAGTTAAAAATACAAAAAAAAAAATGGTTTTGATGGAATTAAACTGAAGTGCCTGGATTGGCAGGCATCATTGACCACAGTGTTAGGAGACATAAATATATGCCTGGTGTACACACACACACACACACACACACACACACACACACACACAGAGAGAGAGAGAGAGAGAGAGAGAGAGAGAGAGAGAGAGAGAGAGAGAGATACACAGAGATACAAACATGCACACACAGACAGACATATCCTACACGTGAATAAAGAATGCTAGCCAGATAGAGATGGCACACGTCTTTAATCCCAGCCCTCTGGAGGCAGAGGCAGGTCCATCTCTGAGTTCAAGACTAGCCTGGTCTACAGAGTGAGTTATAGGACAGCCAGGGCTACACAGGGAAGCCCTATCTTGAAAAACAAAACACAAACAAAAAGAATGATACCCCCAGGTCCCCCAAGTCTTCCTTCTAATGCAAGTCACTTTTAGGGTGACCTAGAAAGGCAGAGCTTTAGACCCCTTAAATTCCACTCAAGCCAGTGGTATAGCTATTAGAAACCCTTTTAGTTCTATTGAATTTTTACTTCTTTGTTTTAAAATGGGGAAATATCCAATACCTCCCAGGACAAAGGCCAGTCAGGAGATTGGTCTGAAGCAAACACTACCACTTTTCAGTGCCACTGAGGACCCTCAGGAGGCTCAAAGGGATGTGCCCTGGGTGAGTTTGGCCTGATAGAAGTTGTAGTATGAAGCCATCGTAGAAAATGAAGCTATCTGTGGTAGAAGGCAAAGGCGGAAGGGCTGTGACAACATGCACCCAAAGGAACTCAAGATCTGCCAACATCAGAAACCCCGAGAGGAGAAACTCAGGGTTGGGGAGAGCTACTGGGATCACAGGGAAGAGAAACCAAGGAGCTTCCTGAGGAAAGTTGATTACCAGTGTGAGTAAATTTAAAACATGGCAAACATGCCTGCGTATACATGTCTACATGTATACGGATCATGTTTACAAGATCCACCTAGGATGGAGCACTAATCCAGAGAATGATGAACAGTGGAGCCCTTCTGAGTGACTCGGGGGACAGAAGTTGTATCAGGGGTGGGAGCTCCCCAATAAACAGTGAAGAACCGCACATAGGCAAATAATTCTGAAGTGACTGAGGTGCCTTTATGCTCCTAGGGATGGCTACTCCCAGTCCTTGCTGGGCTGTATAAAGGGGGCAGTAGTGAGCTAGAGCCACGAGGATAGGGTGAGCATGAACCCTGTGGTATGTGATCTGCACGAGACATAAGGAATCGGATGGATTTGATGGAGATAGTCTACATGTGTCTCTGGGTGTGTGCATGTATGTCTGCATGCCCAAGCGGGACGGTAATAGGGCATAAGTTGAGGCGTTCTTTCCTGTGCCCGCATTTTCTCTCACATCAGACCAGGGTTGGCACCAAACTTCAGCAAAGCCGTCCCCGTATGATCCTAAGCTTCTGCTGGATTCTGAGGTGGAAGCCCAGAGGATTGAGATTGCTCAGGAATACACCCGAGCTTCCATCTGGAATCTTTGCTCTCCAAACAAACAAGCTTTTTGGGCTCGCTCTTGTCAGCCTTCCTTGGAGCAAGACAGATGTATTGCTTTTGAGATTAAACCCATTGTTTCCTTCAGGGGCCCAGCCTAAGTCCAGGAGAGAAATAGGATGTCTTATTGAGGAGCTTGGGGGTTCCAATATAACAGCGGTGGGAGCAGTGTGTGTGTGTGTGCGTGTGCACACACATGCCATGTGCTGAGTACAGGGTAGACATAGTCATCTCAGTAGGACCCTCACCAGAAATTATCACAAGGTTTCCCATGCTGCTTGTTTTGACAGCTTGGGAAGGATCTTGTGGTGACTGTCCCCTTATCAGAGGGGAACATGGGAGTCCATGGGAACAAAGACTTCCTGCCTTCTACCGAGGCAGTTTCACAAGCCCACATGGTCACACAAAATGAAGACCTTTCCACAACAGACACGCTGTAAACGTATAAAACTGAAAACCAAACCAAAACAAAACAAACACAAACAGGAAAGGATTAAGTAGGCCTGCCATGGTGAAGAGTGAGGGAGTCGGATGACAGACGGCTCACGATCCAGTGACCTGTGATAGCTTTTCAGAGGTCTCAGCCTCTTCTCCTCAGCCCAGGACTGGAAACGTCAGCTCCAGGTCTGGGTTAAATCCAGACCTCTCAAGAACTGATGCCATGCCGAGGCTGAATTCACCCTGCAGGGTCCAGCCATCTAAGGCACAGTGGGTGTGGAGTACATGTTTATTCTATGCTGAAAGGGAGGACAGGGTGACAGGCGTGGTCATGTAAAGAGCAGAGCCCAGCAGGTTCCATTGTGATCCTGGAGCCGAATCTTTCAACAGTGTTCCTTTATTTTTAATTGTGTGCATGTGTGTGTTTCTGTGTGCATGTGTGCACATGAGTGCCTGTGGGGGCCAGAGGTGTTGGCTCTCTTGGGGCTGCTCTAGGCTACTGTGAGTTGTCTGACGTGCTCCTATCCTCCACAAGAGCAGTCCATGCTCTGAACCACCGAGTCATCTCTCTAGGCCCTTGGATCCTAGTTTTGACCGTACAGGGTCAGGTGATATCTACAGACTGGGAGCAGTTACTCTGGGAGCCAATGGGCCATCACGTTCATTAGAGGGCAACATTTACCAATTGTACACTGTGTGCGTTTGCGGGTTCTACCCAAGTTTCCCCAGAGAAGGAAGGTTCTGGATGTGGTGGTTTGAAAGGAAATGGCCTCCGAAGGAAGTGGCACTATCAGGAGGTGTGACCTTGCTGGAGGCAGTGTCTCACTGTGGGGCCGGCTTTGAGGTCTCTTAAGTGTCACTCAGTGTGACAGTCAGTCGACTTCCTGTTGCCTCTGAGTCAAGATGTAGCACTCTCGGCTCCAGCACCACGTCTGCCTGCGTGCCACCATGCTCCCCGCCATGATGATAATGAACTGAACCTCTGAACTATAAGGGAGCCACCCCAACTAAACGTTTCCTTTATAAGAGTTGCTGTGATCATGGTGTCTCTTCACAGCAATAAAACCCTAACTAAGACACTGGGTAATTGGGCAGGGGTCTGGCCAGGCAGGAAGCAGTGCCTTTCAGAGCTGGAGGCTGTGTTGATGGCCCTTCCCGATATGTCAAGGACAGAGTAAGGCTGTTCCTGGGTCTGGCAGGTTGGATAATCCCAGCAGGGTACATGAAGAATACTAAGGCAGGCTCCTTCAGTACAGCATTGCTTTCCGATCTGGTTTCAATTCTCCAGGCAGCACAGCTCTGTCACGGATGAGGGAGGTGACTCCCTGGGCTTCATCCATTATGGTGGCACTCACAGCCGTGTGCTCTCAGGCAAGGCACTGACCCACCCTGGTCAGCTGTGTCCCCTCCATTGGTTGGGAATAATGACACCTGGTCCAGAGGGTCACTAGTGAGGGTTAAGGGAGGCTATGTTGGAGAGTTAGGAGCAGGGATACAGCATAATCTTATTTACTTGTTTATACCTGCTTCACATCTCCCGAGCATCGGCTGGTCTCTGGTATCTGGGTGTCTATGAATGGTCTTTCACTTTGAAAGGCTACTTCTCCAAGTCCTCACTCTTACTGGTGGAGCTGGGACCTGGTCACGTCTCCTTGTTACCCTGACATCTGTGTCTCTCCCACTACGTTTTGAGTTCTGCTTTTCAATTGATTTTTATATGGACACCTATGAAGATCCGGGTTCATGGGATTTTTTTTTTCTCCACTGAGAAAGGACATTGAGCGAGTTTACCAGCTGGGATCACAGCCCTCACACGTGTCTCCACTGAGCATTCACCCACCAAAAACGGCCATCCACTCCAAACCCAACAAAGAACTGAGAACTCGCTATGTGCCAGGCACTGTGCTAGGTTCTGGGGTACCAAGAGGCAGGAGGCACGGACCCAGCCTCCATAGAACACAGTGAGAGATGATGGGGTGCCTGCAAACATTCACAGAGGTATGCGGGGGGGGGGGTCCAGCTGTGAGGAGGAACCACTGTGTGTGAGCTCAGGTGCGGGCCCAGCTATGAGGAACGCCAGGAAGTGTTGTGTCCATTTGGAGCATGGTGTCCATCTCTATGAGCTCCCGAAATGGCACCCAGCCCTTTTAGCTGCTCAGAGGTGAGCCTTTCTCCTCAGTCCTAGGGTGGAACACGAATGAACAACTGTGGCCAAGAACCCCAGGGGGAGTTGGAAGACCCGGTAGGGAACGTGTCCTGGTGTCTTTGGAGAACTTCAGCTGTGCTACAGATGGGCCTAGAGACAGAGAAACGGTGAACGTTCCACACTCCTCCAGTTTCTAGGACCCCTCGGGCTTGCTAGCTGTGTGGGGTTGGGGCTGGGTTATTCCTACGGGTCGGCAAGGGTTCTGTGCAACAGTGTGAAGCACCCAGCAGAGTGCCTGGCACATAGAGCCAGGACAGAGTGACGAGAGCAGTCATATGAAGAATCCAAAGAAGAGAGAGAGAGAGAAAAAAAAACTTCATGCGAACTTGGATTTGGAGATGTTGGATACTTACATCTGACCTTGGGTAGGGTTGATGATCAGGGAATTCAGAATCCTAAACAAAACAATGAAGCCACAGTGTGGAGACCTGGCTCAAGGACCCAGGCCAGTGGGCTGACACCCCCCTGGTTTCTGCCTGCCCCCCCAGTCCTGTATGGGGCCATCACTTCCACCTCTGTGTACCTTGTCCTCGCAGGGTGTGTGTGTGAGTGCGTGCGTGTGTGTATGTGTGTGTGTGTGTGTGTGTGAGTGCGCACGTGTGTGTATGTGTGTGTGTGCGTGTGTGTGTATGTGTGTGTGTATGTGTGTGTGTATGTGTGTGTGTGTGTGTAGAATTAATCATTATGCCTGACAGACACAGGCTGAGCGGAGGTGTAAAATATAAGAGCCAAGCGGCGTCAGCAAAGCTTGGCCCGTGCAATCAGGTCCACTAGGGCTTGGAGGAGGTCACTTGAGACCGCTTGTGAGACAGGGCTCCTATTGTGTATTGTGTGCTTCGCTAAACCCAAGCCAGGCTCCCTGGGTCAGTTGAGGAATGGCAGGGACAGCCAGGTTGGCAGGCCTCCTGGGATGGTGGGGCGCCCTTGCAAGGTCTGCAATAACAAGGTGCCGCTCTTCTCTGTAGAGGTCTGTGGGACAGATGGCCCTGTGGGAAAGGGCCCCGCTGCACACGGCCCCCATTGTTGGCCACATCTTTAGCTCACACCACAGCACTTGGATCTGTTTGCCCCTTTGTTCCCCACACTCCTTGAGGACTGAGATGTTTTCAGCAAGTCATTGTGACAGATCCCCTCAGCCCCTTTATAGGCATCTGCATAATCTATCCAAATCATCTACCTAGCGGTCGGCCCGGGGGGACCACACCTCTGTGTGTGGGGGGGTGTCCCTCGGTATCTGGGCAATACATGAGTCTCATCTCATCTCTGTGGGCTCTGCTCTGGGGTCTGTCACGCTGCAGCAGGCACAAGTGGCCCTCTCAGCCTTACTGTCCCACTTCTGTTTTTAGGGGCTGTGACTTGAATTTTGACTCCACCTACACGGTCGCCAGAGAGGGTGGTCAGGGGAGACTACCTGGACCCCGATGGAGGAGCAGCGGCTCTTGAGGAGCTCTTCAGCCTTGGACCCCAGGATGGCCTTGTCACTGGTCCTCGTGGAGCCGCTCTGCACGTCCGTGGCATGGCGCTGAGCCGCAGCTGTTTCCAGAGCCAGATTCATGGCCTTGTTGCTGTCCAGACTGTCCATGGAGTTGTAGAGGCCACGGCTATCGTGGGTCCACGGGGACATCCTCTGGGCCCGGCTGTCCTGGTAGGCGTCCTGCGTCGACTCCGTGCTGCTCTGGGCCGTCACTGAAATCAGAGGCTTGGAGGTGGTCCGCGGAGGCACCGGGGGAGGCGTCTTCTTGTAGTTCGTGTAGGAGACAGCTATGAGAGAAGGAGGCTCAGTCAGCTGGATTCCTCCATGGAGCAAATCTATATTTCTGACATACGTGCTCACAGCCCAGCCTGTCTGCTTCTGGACATCTGGCCTTAGAAAGGCAGGCAACATGGGGAAGTTCTTGTTGGGCTTAAAGATATCTATGTGGATATATATGTAGCAACAGAAGATATTATAAAAGGACCTAGGTATCCAGCAACACAAGTTAGAAACATCTCTCTCTCTCTCTCTCTCTCTCTCTCTCTCTGTGTGTGTGTGTGTGTGTGTGTGTGTGTGTGTGCATGTCTATGTGTGTGCAGGACAGAACACTCTACACCACTGATTTCACAGACATCATGGTGTTGTGCTCAACCCTCTTTTACCACACCAGGGAAGCAGGCAGGGCCCCAAATCAAGAGTCAAAAATGCAGTGCCCACGCAGGGAATCACTGGTGTGAGAAGCCAGTGTCAGTCAAACTTGTTGAGTGACAATATTCGCAGTGCTTTCTCCCCTGACTGTATTTTCTAAAAAAACAAAACAAAACAAAACAAAACAACCAAAATCTTTATAACGAGTCGTTATTTAGCACTGACAAATGAAATGGGCGAGGGGGCTCAAGCTGGTGAGTGGGAGGTCTTAAATCTTAAAAAGAGCATGGTGGAGGAGTCAGGAGGGAAACTGGTAGAGACACGGGTGGTACAGTTCAGCCTGAGCCTTGTCTGCCCCAGAGCAAACACCTGAAGTCCCTTTTCTTTTCTCCAAAGCTCTTTTGCTAGCCTGGATCCCTCTCTTAAGGAGCATTAGTAAACACGGCAAATATTTTACATACCATTTTCAGATTCGGATATGTACATAGAAGGAGTCTTGCTCCGTCCATGCTGACACCATCCCTGTCACCTTTCACAAATACCCTAAGCCCGACTCACCCTCCACTCCCTCGACCCCAGGTTCCCAGACTTGGAAAGCCCATGCTATTGCCTGCAGGGCCGTTTTGATTCACCCCGTGGGACGGCATCCCCCTTGGAGATTTACTAGATGTCTCTTGGAATCCCAGCTCTCCTTTGCCTCACACTAAACTGGTTCTGAAGTGTGGACTAATGGAGGCATCTGTAGGTATCTCTTGGTCCCTCATTTCTCTGCTCCCAGAGGCTGAGGTCCATGTGAGCAGGTTCCTGTGCTGGGTGGGATGTTCAGGCTCTTGACCCAATGTTCTGTCCCACATCTTACCCCACCCGCCTTGGGAGCTCCCTGCCCCGCTTCCCTGCCCCGCCTCCCTGCCCCGCCTCCCAGCCCCGCCTCCCTGCCCCGCCTCCCGGTCCCACCTCCCTGCCCCACCTCCCTGCCCCACCTAAGCTGTCTTCCCATTCTACTCATTCTCCTTAGACTATTTCCTTTGCCTTTCCCCTATCTCTACCCTACTTCTGACAATGCTGTCTCTCCAGATCTTTCCTGAATCCCTCCGCCAAAGTCCAGCAGCCCCACTCATCCTCTTCTTTGCCGATAAATATTTATTGGGGTCTGGGCTCTTTTTCATTTGGGGACGACTGACCTTGATTTCCTCAACGGCCCATGGATGGAACAGAATTTAAGCCCATATTTGCTGAAGACCCAGTAACCTCACAGTGCAGCCAAAGTCACCAAGCAGAAAACCACAGGGATCTTGGAGCTTAATTCTAAAACAGGAGCGTTGTTCACTCAGCGTGGGGACACAGAGCAAAGCCACAAACCTTCAAAGGTGATTTTTCTTTGTGTCTATAGAGATTTTGAGAATTGGTTTGCACCTCTCAGATAATGAAGGTAAAAGGCCTAAACATTTTAAAGCTCCTTCAGAACATGTTTAGGGGGGCAATGGGGAAAAAAAAACAACCACCACAAGTTCCCACGTGAGATTCCTGGACAAGGCAAGGTGCAGCTAGGAAATTGATCAGGTTAGAGAGCGGGCGGTGGCTAGACACACTCTGAGTCTCCACGGGGTGATGTGTGTCCAGGAGAGCAGAGGCGGTGGACAAGGAGCAATGGTGAGACCTCTGTAACAGGGTCCAGCTTCAGAGGTCAGTGTGAAAAGGAAGGCCACCTGCTCAAGCCTTGGGGGAGCTGGGTTCTTCCACGAGGATTCATCAGCCTGATCATTGGCAGCTTCTGGGAGTAGGACTCTAGTGTTTGTCAGGGTTGGGAACTGAAACAAGCAGGGGCCAGCTGCTGGGCTCTGAAAACCCGGTTCAGAAGCCTTACACGCCAGGCTCTATTATTGCATCTTCTAATGAGCCTCTTGGCGACATACAGAGGCCATGCAGCTTTGTGTCTCTGAGTAGCAGTACTGATTTTGGGAAAGTTCACACCCCTGTAGATGCTGATGGTGAAGAGCACAGACTCAAAAAGCATCAGAAATTTGCAAGTAGGGCTGAGTGTAGGGATACGTCACTTGTATTTTAATAAATAAGGCTTGCAGGTTGGAGAGATGGCTCAGGGGTTAAGAGTATTGCCTGCTCTTCCGAAGGTCTTGAGTTCAATTCCCGGCAACCACATGATGTCTCACAACCATCTGTAATGGGGTCTGGTGCCCTCTTATGGCCTGCAGGCGCATACATACAGACAGAATATTGTATACATAATAAATAAATAAATATAAAAAAATAAATAAAGCTTGCCTGAAGATCAGAGAGTAAAACAGCTGCACTGATCAGCCACACAGACCAGGCAGTGGTGACACACACCCTTAATCCCTGCAGCCGCACTAGTTTGCCATAAAAACCATGCGGTAGTGGTGCGTGCCTTTAATCCCAGTTCTAGAGAGGAACGTAAGACGGGAGGAGACAGCTCTGTCAGTCTCATTCTGAGATTCCTGGAGGCAGGATCGCCATTTCAGACCGAGGTAGAGGTGAGAGCTGCTTTGCTTTTCTGACCTTCAGGTCGCACCCCAATCTCTCTCTCTGGATTTGAATTAACCGTGCTACAGTTGGGGAGTTATCTCAGCGAGTGAGTCACCTGGCACACGAGAATGAGGACAGGTTTAAATCCTCTAGGACCCATATAAATAAAAATCCAGGTGCAGGGAGCATGCCTATAATCCCAGAACCCGGAAGGTGTAGCTGGGACCCGTGGGAACTACTCAAATCAATGAGCTTCAGATTTGGTCAGAGATTCTGTCTCTAAAGATATGGTGGGTGGAGGAAGGCGCCTGCCCTCTGGCTTCCACATGGCTCCAAATCCGCACGCATATGCACGGACACGCACTGTGCTATCAACACGGTTGAATGCTTGTGTCTGTCCTATCTTCACACCACGCTGGAGAACATCAAACCTCCTATCAGAACACCAAAAAAATGAAAGTTGTTTGCAGTTGACCTCTCCAGGAACCTCGAGGAGACGCTCCAATTCTACTCCCTAGCTATCCAAGAAAGCATCCTACAACCCGGTTCACAATGCAGAACCCACTGAGTGTGTTTAAGGAAAACCCGACACTGGAAAATCTAACCACCAAAACTCAGTTGCTTCATGGCCCTTTAGCATATCAGCAGCATAGTTATGGTGCCCCATTTGCTATAAAGATAGGGACCTTGAACTTGGTCTTTGTAGAATAGGAGCCACATAGCTTATGGGGCTAATGAATTAGCAGGCACCTCTCGCTGCCAAGCCCAGAGAAGGGCTTGCTATGCTCTAGCAGGGAGGCAGGAGCTGTGTCATTCATTTCTTGAGTGACAAGGAAGAAAATAGCTTGGCAGCTTTCAGAGCTGTGTCTGTGCACTGCCAGGCTGTGTGTCCCTGACTCGGGCTGGGACACAAGGCCTGTGTGGAGGGGCAGAGATAATGTCTACCTGGGGCTAGGTATGCAGTCTCAGGGGATATCCTTGCCTGGTTACAGTCAGAACATTTGAAGGGAGACCCTTCTTACTGCAGCAGTGAAGCACACAGTGCTTACTTAGAGCACACAGCTACCATACTATTCTTTTAAACCTTTTTGAAAGTCAATGCAAATGCAAGCATTTTTAATAGCTAAGAAGTCAACTGTACTGCAGCAAAGCCACATAATTACTGATTCGCACAGTCAATCCACACCTGAGTAGTTTTGCAGCCCACCTGTGACAACAGATATCATCCCTGTGTCATCCATGGACCCATGTGAAGGGCCTGGAGATGCCAGAATCTTTCTGGCTTATACAACAGGTCCAGAAGTAAATGCTGAAGCCATCACATGTGGGAGTCATGCTGTTGGCTGTTGGTTTCAGGAAACATTTTTGTAGGGCCCGTGCCCCTGGCAGTGCTTCGGACTTTAGCTTTGATACAGTTTAATATGTTTGTGATTTTTGATGTCTTGGATTAATTATGGTAATTGCTTAACATTTTGAAAATGACCCACATTGTTCAGTACCTGAAATTCACCTCTGGGTAGTCACAGTGGTGGAATCAGGATGAAAGACAAGTTATGACCGTTGGACCAAAGCTGAGCCATCCCTCAAGCGTGCTGTGCATACACTCCATCCTCAGTGAGGTAGGCTTCATGCACCTCCTTGTTGGCGCTATGAGGAATAGCTATATCATCCTTCCCACAGACCTGAGATGCTGTGCTCTTGTGGCCTTGGAGAAACTATCGCAGTCCATCTCTGTGCTTGTCCATGTTACTGCTAAGCACCCAGACGAGTGGCCGTTATGCCATGGTCACCTAATGCCTCTCATGATCCCCACCCTCAGTGAGCAGGAAGAATAAATACCACGTTAAGCTGGAGCTTGGTCCAGATCCTTTACTTCTTCAGAGATTGCTACCAAGTTGCTACACGCATATTTATGAAATTCAATCATGAGAAAGAAAAGTCTATCCATGCTACGAATGAGATACCTCCAAATACCCCGCCCCCCCCCCAGTGTAGCTCCAGAAGAATGCCCACCCCCTCCACTCACAGCACGCCTCCACTGGAGATAATCTCACACCAACATGGCTTCACTTGGGATGCTCGCACACATGCGGTGTGACTCCATTAGGGACACCAGCACACACACTATGACTCCCCA